GAGCCAGTCCCTGTGCTCCTCAGAGTCCCAGCAGGAGTCCAGTCCCTGTGCTCCTCAGAGTCCCAGCAGGAGGCCAGTCCCTGTGCTCCTCAGAGTCCCAGCAGGAGTCCAGTCCCTGTGCTCCTCAGAGTCCCAGCAGGAGTCCAGTCCCTGTGCTCCTCAGAGTCCCAGCAGGAGTCCAGTCCCTGTGCTCCTCAGAGTCCCAGCAGGAGGCCAGTCCCTGTGCTCCTCAGAGTCCCAGCAGGAGTCCAGTCCCTGTGCTCCTCAGAGTCCCAGCAGGAGTCCAGTCCCTGTGCTCCTCAGAGTCCCAGCAGGAGTCCAGTCCCTGTGCTCCTCAGAGTCCCAGCAGGAGTCCAGTCCCTGTGCTCCTCAGAGTCCCAGCAGGAGTCCAGTCCCTGTGCTCCTCAGAGTCCCAGCAGGAGGCCAGTCCCTGTGCTCCTCAGAGTCCCAGCAGGAGTCCAGTCCCTGTGCTCCTCAGAGTCCCAGCAGGAGTCCAGTCCCTGTGCTCCTCAGAGTCCCAGCAGGAGTCCAGTCCCTGTGCTCCTCAGAGTCCCAGCAGGAGTCCAGTCCCTGTGCTCCTCAGAGTCCCAGCAGGAGTCCAGTCCCTGTGCTCCTCAGAGTCCCAGCAGGAGTCCAGTCCCTGTGCTCCTCAGAGTCCCAGCAGGAGTCCAGTCCCTGTGCTCCTCAGAGTCCCAGCAGGAGTCCAGTCCCTGTGCTCCTCAGAGTCCCAGCAGGAGTCCAGTCCCTGTGCTCCTCAGAGTCCCAGCAGGAGTCCAGTCCCTGTGCTCCTCAGAGTCCCAGCAGGAGTCCAGTCCCTGTGCTCCTCAGAGTCCCAGCAGGAGTCCAGTCCCTGTGCTCCTCAGAGTCCCAGCAGGAGTCCAGTCCCTGTGCTCCTCAGAGTCCCAGCAGGAGTCCAGTCCCTGTGCTCCTCAGAGTCCCAGCAGGAGTCCAGTCCCTGTGCTCCTCAGAGTCCCAGCAGGAGTCCAGTCCCTGTGCTCCTCAGAGTCCCAGCAGGAGTCCAGTCCCTGTGCTCCTCAGAGTCCCAGCAGGAGTCCAGTCCCTGTGCTCCTCAGAGTCCCAGCAGGAGTCCAGTCCCTGTGCTCCTCAGAGTCCCAGCAGGAGTCCAGTCCCTGTGCTCCTCAGAGTCCCAGCAGGAGTCCAGTCCCTGTGCTCCTCAGAGTCCCAGCAGGAGTCCAGTCCCTGTGCTCCTCAGAGTCCCAGCAGGAGTCCAGTCCCTGTGCTCCTCAGAGTCCCAGCAGGAGTCCAGTCCCTGTGCTCCTCAGAGTCCCAGCAGGAGTCCAGTCCCTGTGCTCCTCAGAGTCCCAGCAGGAGTCCAGTCCCTGTGCTCCTCAGAGTCCCAGCAGGAGTCCAGTCCCTGTGCTCCTCAGAGTCCCAGCAGGAGTCCAGTCCCTGTGCTCCTCAGAGTCCCAGCAGGAGTCCAGTCCCTGTGCTCCTCAGAGTCCCAGCAGGAGTCCAGTCCCTGTGCTCCTCAGAGTCCCAGCAGGAGTCCAGTCCCTGTGCTCCTCAGAGTCCCAGCAGGAGTCCAGTCCCTGTGCTCCTCAGAGTCCCAGCAGGAGTCCAGTCCCTGTGCTCCTCAGAGTCCCAGCAGGAGTCCAGTCCCTGTGCTCCTCAGAGTCCCAGCAGGAGTCCAGTCCCTGTGCTCCTCAGAGTCCCAGCAGGAGTCCAGTCCCTGTGCTCCTCAGAGTCCCAGCAGGAGTCCAGTCCCTGTGCTCCTCAGAGTCCCAGCAGGAGTCCAGTCCCTGTGCTCCTCAGAGTCCCAGCAGGAGTCCAGTCCCTGTGCTCCTCAGAGTCCCAGCAGGAGTCCAGTCCCTGTGCTCCTCAGAGTCCCAGCAGGAGTCCAGTCCCTGTGCTCCTCAGAGTCCCAGCAGGAGTCCAGTCCCTGTGCTCCTCAGAGTCCCAGCAGGAGTCCAGTCCCTGTGCTCCTCAGAGTCCCAGCAGGAGTCCAGTCCCTGTGCTCCTCAGAGTCCCAGCAGGAGTCCAGTCCCTGTGCTCCTCAGAGTCCCAGCAGGAGTCCAGTCCCTGTGCTCCTCAGAGTCCCAGCAGGAGTCCAGTCCCTGTGCTCCTCAGAGTCCCAGCAGGAGGCCAGTCCCTGTGCTCCTCAGAGTCCCAGCAGGAGTCCAGTCCCTGTGCTCCTCAGAGTCCCAGCAGGAGTCCTGGGATGTGTGTGTGTGTGTGTGTGTGTGTGTGTCCGCCTCCAACTGATACTCCTTCCATTTCAATATAATTGCTTGCACAGTGCTCCTTGAGATGTTTAAAGCTTGGGAAATCTTTTTGTATCCAAATCCGGCTTTAAACTTCTCCACAACAGTATCTCGGACCTGCCTGGTGTGTTCCTTTGTCTTCATGGTTCTCTCTGTGCTTTAAACAGAACCCTGAGACTATCAAAGAGCAGGTGCATTTATACGGAGACTTGATTACACACAGGTGCATTCTATTTATCATCATCAGTCATTTAGGACAACATTGGATCATTCAAAGATCCTCACTGAACTTCTGGACTGAGTTTGCTGCACTGAAAGTAAAGGGGCCCAATAATATTGCACGCCCCACTTTTCAGTTATTTGTTAAAAAAGTTTAAATTATCCAATAAATTTCGTTCCACTTCACGATTGTGTCCCACTTGTTGTTGATTCATGACAAAAAATTAAAATTTTATATCTTTATGTTTGAAGCCTGAAATGTGGCGAAATGTTGAACGGTTCAAGGGGGCCGAATACTTTCGCAAGGCACTGTATATGTGTTTTTGTATTTTTATTAGAGTAAGTAAGTAAGTAGTAAGTTTTTATTTATATACCGCCTTTTCACTGCAGATCTGAGTCTCAAAGCGGTTTACAATTGTTAATTTTTGGGCATTTGTCTCTCACTCCACACAGAGATGGGAGGGGCCAGTACAGGAGGCGCATGCCAGAACTATTGGACATATTTTTAGTGGTAGGGGAAACCGGAGCACCCGGAGGAAACCTACGCAGACACGGGGAGAACATGCAAACTCCACTCAGAAAGGCCCTGGTCCGACCGGGATTCGAACCCAGGACCTTCTTGCTGAGAGGCGAGAGTGCTAACCACTCAGCCACCGTGCCGCTGTTAGAGCTGTCAAACGATTAATGTTTTAGTTGATTAATCACATTCTATTTCAAATCCAAATGAAGATGAATGAGATCAACTGTAACGACACATGTCAATCAGACCAAATGTTCTTCAAAATTGAAGTTAACGCGATCATTTTGACAGCCCTGATTTTCATATATATATATTTCATTTATTTCATATATTTCATTTATTTCATATATTTCATTTATTTCATTTATTTCATATATTTCATTTATTTCAGAGACAAAGCTGCAGGAGTTTCCTCTGGAGGAGAAAGAGGTTCATAAGATTCTTACCCAAGTGAACGTGACGCGACGACAGTGTGAGATCGTACGTATGACATCACCACAGTGTGACATTACCACAGAGTGACATCACCACTGTGTGACATCACCACAGTGTGACATCACCACAGTGTGACATCACCACTGTGTGACATCACCACAGTGTGACATCACCACAGTGTGACATCACCACAGTGTGACATCACTGTGTGACATCACCACTGTGTGACATCACCACTGTGTGACATCACTGTGTGACATCACCACTGTGTGACATCACCACTGTGTGACATCACCACAGTGTGACATCACCTCAGTGTGACATCACCACTGTGTGACATCACCACTGTGTGACATCACCTCAGTGTGACATCACCACTGTGTGACATCACCACTGTGTGACATCACCACAGTGTGACATCACCACTGTGTGACATCACCACAGAGTGACATCACCACTGTGTGACATCACCACTGTGTGACATCACCACTGTGACATCACCACTGTGTGACATCACCACGGAGTGACATCACCACAGTGTGACATCACCACTGTGTGACATCACCACTGTGTGACATCACTGTGTGACATCACCACTGTGTGACATCACTGTGTGACATCACCACAGTGTGACATCACCACAGTGTGACATCACCACTGTGTGACATCACCACTGTGTGACATCACCACTGTGTGACATCACCACTGTGTGACATCACCATTGTGTGACATCACCACAGTGTGACATCACCACTGTGTGACATCACCACTGTGTGACGTCACCACAGTGTGACGTCACCACAGTGTGACGTCACCACAGTGTGACATCACCACAGTGTGACATCACCACTGTGTGACATCACCACAGTGTGACATCACCACAGTGTGACATCACCACTGTGTGACATCATCACTGTGTGACATCACCACTGTGTGACATCACCACTGTGTGACATCACCACTGTGTGACATCACCACTGTGTGACATCACCACTGTGTGACATCACCACTGTGTGACATCACCACTGTGTGACATCACCACAGAGTGACATCACCACAGTGTGACATCACCACAGTGTGACATCACCACTGTGTGACATCACCACTGTGTGACATCACCACTGTGTGACATCACCACTGTGTGACATCACCACTGTGTGACATCACCACAGTGTGACATCACCACTGTGTGACATCACCTCAGTGTGACATCACCACTGTGTGACATCATCATGTGTTTGATTCATAGAAATTGGAGGCGACGGACTTTGACGAGAAAAAAGAAATCAACAAAAGGAAACAGCTGATTCTGGAGGGAAAGGTCAGTGTGGAGGACCAGGACCAAGACTAGGACCGGTCTAAAGGCGGTCTAGGACTGGACTGTAGGTGGACTGACCTTACATGGGGCTGTATGTGAATCCTGGACTTTAGACCAGGACCAGTCCACAGGGGGGTGGTCCACAGAGGGGTGGTCCACAGGGGGGTGGTCCACAGGGGGGTGGTCCACAGGGGGGTGGTCCACAGGGGGTGTTCCACAGAGGGGTGGTCCACAGGGGGGTGGTCCACAGGGGGGTGGTCCACAGAGGGTGGTCCACAGAGGGTGGTCCACAGAGGGGTGGTCCACAGAGGGGTGGTCCACAGAGGGGTGGTCCACAGAGGGGTGGTCCACAGGGGGGTGGTCCACAGGGGGGTGGTCCACAGGGGGGATGGATGGTCTTAGTTTTGTCAGTGATTGTGCTGCAGCTGGTGTGGACCATGTGTCTGCCCTCACTGTTCCTCTCCCTCAGGACCCAGACCTGGGTCTCACTGTTCCCTGAGGACCCAGACCTGGGTCTCACTGTTCCTCTCCCTCAGGACCCAGACCTGGGTCTCACTGTTCCTCTTCCTCAGGACCCAGACCTGGGTCTCACTGTTCCTCTTCCTCAGGACCCAGACCTGGGTCTCACTGTTCCTCTCCCTCAGGACCCAGACCTGGGTCTCACTGTTCCTCTCCCTCAGGACCCAGACCTTGAGGCCAAACGGAAAGCTGAGCTGGAGAAGATCCGGACCCAGAAGAAGAAGTTCAAGGAGAAAATCCAGGAAACGATTCAAAGACAGAAGAAAAATCACGTCAAAAAGAGCATCAAGAAACGACGAGACAAAAGACAGAAAAGTCTCTCTGCTGCAAAGTGACACTAGGACTAGAACAGACAGTGGGACTAGAACAGACACTGGGACTAGAACGGAGACTGGGACTAGAACAGAGACTGGATCTTTGCGTCAGGCTCATGTTGAGCTGAACCAAGCGATCACTTTGATAATTGTTTATTCTCTGGATTAAATCAAAATGAGATTTGACCTGAATTTCAGACAAAAATATTTAATAAAAGTGTTTTTCATTTACTTTTTCCACATCTTTGTATCAAGAAGAATGTCTTTATTTGCACTATTCTCTCTGGTCTCTCTCTGGTCTCTCTCTGGTCTCTCTCTCTGGTCTCTCTCTGGTCTCTCTCTGGTCTCTCTCTGGTCTCTCTCTGGTCTCTCTCTGGCCTCTCTCTGGTCTCTCTCTGGCCTCTCTCTGGTCTCTCTCTGGTTTCTCTCTGGTCTCTCTCTGGTTTCTCTCTGGTCTCTCTGTGGTCTCTCTCTGTTCTCTCTCTGGTCTCTCTCTCTGGCCTCTCTCTGGTCTCTCTCTGGTCTCTCCCTGGTCTCCCCCTCTCTGGTCCCTCTCTCTCTGGTCTCTCTCTCTCTGGTCTCTCTCTCTCTCTCTGGTCTTTCCTGAAACACTAACTCATTGAACAAACCCATGAACCTTGAGTCAGAGACAGATGTTATTGTCACAGATGAAAAAAACATGTTTCTTTAAAGCTTTAATTGAATCAAACAACAGAAAAATAAAGTTTGTCTTCACTGCAACAGAAACATGTAACAAGTGACGCTTCATGGAACCAGGAAACTGACTCTGAAGGACCAGTCATGATTGTCACATGGTACATTCTCACTTCACAATCACTGGGGTAGTCTGAAGGCCCTGGTTTCCCCCTCACTGGTCTCTCTCCTCTCTGGTCCCCCTCACTGGTCTCCCTCCTCTTCTCTCTGGTCTCCCTCTGGTCTCTCTCTTCTCTATGGTCTCCCTCTGGTCTCTCCCCTCTTCTCTATGGTCTCCCTCTGGTCTCTCCCCTCTTCTCCATGGTCTCCCTCTGGTCTCTCCCCTCTTCTCTATGGTCTCCCTCTGGTCACTCCCCTCTTCTCTATGGTCTCCCTCTGGTCTCTCCCCTCTTCTCTATGGTCTCCCTCTGGTCTCTCCCCTCTTCTCTCTGGTATCTCCTCTGGTCTCCCTCTAAATACCATGTGCCCTTTTATCGGCCCCTCCCACATCTTTAAAACCACTGGCTTCCACAGATTTGTACATTCAGTGAGTTCGGAGGCACTGACTCTCACTTCAGTCGTCACAGAAACCAGAAAAGTCCAGGTTTGTGTCTTCATGGTGTTCTCACAGCGACACCAGAGTTCAGAGCTCTTTGGACTCGTGGCAAAAACTGAATCTCATCAAAATACAAGAGCTTTGAACACAACAGTGAAAGTCAGACAATCTCTCTCCCTCCCTGGTCTCTCTCCATGGTCTCTCTCCATGGTCTCTCTCTCCCCCCCGGTCTCTCTCCATGGTCTCTCTCTCCCCCCTGGTCTCTCTCCCCCCCCGGTCTCTCTTCCCCCCCTGGTCTCTCTCTCCCCCCCTGGTCACTCTCTCCCCCCCGGTCTCTCTCCATGGTCTCTCTCTCCCCCCCAGTCTTGGTCCTCGTTCTACAGTCTGAGTCCTGGATCTACAGCCCGTCCGTGTGGATCTCTCTCTGTGGATCTGAGGTTTCTCACTTTTCTCCCACTGGGTTTTAGAGTTTTTCCTGATTCCGAGTCTGTCCAGGACACTAACATTCTACAACATTCATAGACACTGGTCGCTCCCTATGGTCCAATACCATGTGGTCTCTCTCCTCTGCTCTGTGTTGAAGGTTAATGGTTCTGTAAAGTCTGAGAAACTGTTTTAGGGCGATAAAAGCATAACGTGAATTAAACTGAAGTCGTAAAGTTGTATTTTTATTGCATTGAAAACAGCTTCACTACATTCTCCTGGACTCACTGTGCTCCTGGTAAATGGAGCGCTCTGCTTCATTACATTGGAGCCCATTCAAGAGTAAACTACAGACCCATGTGATGCAGCCGTCCCTCACTGTGAAGCTTTGTTTAGAGCCGCTTCTCATTTGCCGCGAGTAAAACACAACTTTCCTTTATTTAAAGTCAGGAAACTTTCGAAGCCGATCGAAGCAGTGACTTGTTCAGAGGACGACTGGTCTCTCCCTCTACGGTCTCTCTCGCTCTCTAGTGTCTCTCTTATTGTGGGTTGTCTTTAGAACACATCACTCCTGTCCTGAAACACTTCTCCCTCAGAGCAACGCTCGTGTTGGTGACATCAGAATCATAAATGCGTAAAGTTGACGCCGGGCGTAAAGTTAAAAACAACATTTAGAAAAACTTTGTGCTTGAACTCATCACATAATAAAACATCAGGTCTTTGTCGGCGACACGTTTAAAAGAAGCAAAGAAATAAGAAAAATCATCCAGTCCCAAAGTATCAACCAGTCCCAAAGTATCATTCATAAAATCAGGAAACGCTGCTGGTGTCGTCTCTGTCTCCGAGACCGAAGCTAAAGTGGCGCTCCGTCGAGACCCGCTCCGTCGAGACCCGCTCCGTCAAGACCCGCTTCGCCGAGACCCGCTCCGCCGAGACCCGCTCCGTCGAGACCCGCCCTCGACGCCGCCATCTGCGCCACTCTCTGTCTTTAATCAGAGAGAAACCTCATGTTCCTGTTTGCTCTCGGCCGCTGCCTCCGGCTGAAGGCTGTCGGGATCGTCGGGATCGTCGGGAGGTGCAGGTCGTTCTGTTTGAGACTTGATCTCGTCTCTCCTCAGTCTCGCCGCATCTCGTCTGCGACTCGTGGCCGTGTTTCCAACGCGCAGCTCGGGGTTCCGCCGTGGCACCGCTCGGCGCAGCTCCGGTTCTCTCGAATGTCGCAGAGGAAAACATGGATCCGTTTTATGTTTTTATTATTTCTCAGATTAAAAAGCTCAGATGCACCAAGCTCCGCTCAGGCCGAGCTCCGCTCTTCAGGTACCTACAGCAAACACAAGACTGTTAAAGTCAGGTACCTACAGCAAACACAAGACTGTTAAAGTCAGATACCTACAGCAAACACAAGACTGTTAAAGTCAGGTACCTACAGCAAACACAAGACTGTTAAAGTCAGGTACCTACAGCAAACACAAGACTGTTAAAGTCAGGTACCTACAGCAAACACAAGACTGTTAAAGTCAGGTACCTACAGCAAACACAAGACTGTTAAAGTCAGGTACCTACAGCAAACGCAAGACTGTTAAAGTCAGGTACCTACAGCAAACACAAGACTGTTAAAGTCAGATACCTACAGCAAACGCAAGACTGTTAAAGTCAGGTACCTACAGCAAACACAAGACTGTTAAAGTCAGATACCTACAGCAAACACAAGACTGTTAAAGTCAGGTACCTACAGCAAACACAAGACTGTTAAAGTCAGGTACCTACAGCAAACACAAGACTGTTAAAGTCAGGTACCTACAGCAAACACAAGACTGTTAAAGTCAGGTACCTACAGCAAACACAAGACTGTTAAAGTCAGGTACCTACAGCAAACACAAGACTGTTAAAGTCAGATACCTACAGCAAACGCAAGACTGTTAAAGTCAGGTACCTACAGCAAACACAAGACTGTTAAAGTCAGGTACCTACAGCAAACACAAGACTGTTAAAGTCAGGTACCTACAGCAAACACAAGACTGTTAAAGTCAGGTACCTACAGCAAACACAAGACTGTTAAAGTCAGGTACCTACAGCAAACACAAGACTGTTAAAGTCAGGTACCTACAGCAAACACAAGACTGTTAAAGTCAGATACCTACAGCAAACGCAAGACTGTTAAAGTCAGGTACCTACAGCAAACACAAGACTGTTAAAGTCAGGTACCTACAGCAAACACAAGACTGTTAAAGTCAGGTACCTACAGCAAACACAAGACTGTTAAAGTCAGATACCTACAGCAAACACAAGACTGTTAAAGTCAGGTACCTACAGCAAACACAAGACTGTTAAAGTCAGGTACCTACAGCAAACACAAGACTGTTAAAGTCAGGTACCTACAGCAAACACAAGACTGTTAAAGTCAGGTACCTACAGCAAACACAAGACTGTTAAAGTCAGATACCTACAGCAAACACAAGACTGTTAAAGTCAGGTACCTACAGCAAACACAAGACTGTTAAAGTCAGATACCTACAGCAAACACAAGACTGTTAAAGTCAGGTACCTACAGCAAACACAAGACTGTTAAAGTCAGCAAACACAAGACTGTTAAAGTCAGGTACCGGACTTTAGTCTCATAAGTAACATGGAGTTTGTCCAACAGTGAGAACAAAGCACAACATCCTGTCTAATCTCCTGTGTACGAAAAACCCTACGAGTCACTTTGTGACTCTTGGGGCTGAGAGTGAGGGGGTCGTCTCTTGGATCTAAAGATGTGACAAAGGTATGTCAATGCAAAGTTATATTTGGTGTTTTGAATGTTTTCACCGTTTATGTATTAATAACACTTGTATTGAGGATTTTGAACTCCCAGGAGGCAGGATTAGCTAAACCAGTACATTTAAGTCAACCACAAGGACTTAATAAACTCAGATTCATCACAATACACAGTAGCCCCTTCCCCTCTAACACTCATGTTAGTACTGGGAGGTCCCTGCTTTCCCCTTCCCCTCTAACACTCATGTTAGTACTGGGAGGTCCCTGCGTTCCCCTTCCCCTCTAACACTCATGTTAGTACTGGGAGGTCCCTGCTTTCTCCTTCCCCTCTAACACTCATGTTAGTACTGGGAGGTCCCTGCGTTCCCCTTCCCCTCTAACACTCATGTTAGTACTGGGAGGTCCCTGCTTTCCCCTTCCCCTCTAACACTCATGTTAGTACTGGGAGGTCCCTGCGTTCCCCTTCCCCTCTAACACTCATGTTAGTACTGGGAGGTCCCTGCTTTCTCCTTCCCCTCTAACACTCATGTTAGTACTGGGAGGTCCCTGCGTTCCCCTTCCCCTCTAACACTCATGTTAGTACTGGGAGGTCCCCGCTTTCTCCTTCCCCTCTAACACTCATGTTAGTACTGGGAGGTCCCTGCTTTCTCCTTCCCCTCTAACACTCATGTTAGTACTGGGAGGTCCCTGCGTTCCCCTTCCCCTCTAACACTCATGTTAGTACTGGGAGGTCCCCGCTTTCTCCTTCCCCTCTAACACTCATGTTAGTACTGGGAGGTCCCTGCTTTCCCCTTCCCCTCTAACACTCATGTTAGTACTGGGAGGTCCCTGCTTTCTCCTTCCCCTCTAACACTCATGTTAGTACTGGGAGGTCCCTGCGTTCCCCTTCCCCTCTAACACTCATGTTAGTACTGGGAGGTCCCTGCGTTCCCCTTCCCCTCTAACACTCATGTTAGTACTGGGAGGTCCCTGCGTTCCCCTTCCCCTCTAACACTCATGTTAGTACTGGGAGGTCCCTGCGTTCCCCTTCCCCTCTAACACTCATGTTAGTACTGGGAGGTCCCTGCTTTCCCCTTCCCCTCTAACACTCATGTTAGTACTGGGAGGTCCCTGCGTTCCCCTTCCCCTCTAACACTCATGTTAGTACTGGGAGGTCCCTGCTTTCCCCTTCCCCTCTAACACTCATGTTAGTACTGGGAGGTCCCTGCGTTCCCCTTCCCCTCTAACACTCATGTTAGTACTGGGAGGTCCCTGCTTTCTCCTTCCCCTCTAACACTCATGTTAGTACTGGGAGGTCCCTGCTTTCTCCTTCCCCTCTAACACTCATGTTAGTACTGGGAGGTCCCCGCTTTCTCCTTCCCCTCTAACACTCATGTTAGTACTGGGAGGTCCCTGCTTTCCCCTGCCCCTCTAACACTCACTTTAGTACTGGGAGGTCCCTGCTTTCCCCTGCCCCTCTAACACGCATGTTAGTACTGGGAGGTCCCTGCTTTCCCCTGCCCCTCTAACACTCACTTTAGTACTGGGACAGGCCGGTCACTCCGTGCTGGTACGCCCTCTCGCCCTGGTACGTGGAGTCCTGGGACAGGGCCACATCCATTTGGGACTTGAACTCGTCTCCGAGGTAGCTGTCCTGAACAAGCACATAAACATAGGTGTTTAGGTTGATCCAATTCCTCAGTCCTGGGTCTACAGCCTCAGTCCTGGGTCTACAGCCTCAGTCCTGGGTCTACAGCCTCAGTCCTGGGTCTACAGCCTCAGACCTGGGTCTACAGCCTCAGACCTGGGTCTACAGCCTCAGACCTGGGTCTACAGCCTCAGTCCTGGGTCTACAGCCTCAGTCCTGGGTCTACAGCCTCAGTCCTGGGTCTACAGCCTCAGTCCTGGGTCTACAGCCTCAGTCCTGGGTCTACAGCCTCAGTCCTGGGTCTACAGCCTCAGTCCTGGGTCTACAGCCTCAGTCCTGGGTCTACAGCCTCAGTCCTGGGTCTAGCAGCAGTATGTTGGCATCTGTACATTAGCAGCAGTATGTTTACAACAGCCTCAGTCCTGGGTCTACAGTCAGCATAGAGGGGAGTGACCCTATGATCTTGTAGCGCTGGTTTACCTGGGACAGCTCGGGCTGGGACAGCCCTGGCTGGCTCATCTGGGAGGGTTGGCTCATGTGCATGTAGCCCTGTGTGAGTGGCCCCTGGGAGAAGGGCTGGGAGGCCCCATCCTGGCTGGCCTGGCTCTGAGGGCCACCTCCACGAGACCTCTGCCCTCGGCCGCGCCCGGGCTTTCCCTTCATCCCTCCCTTCATACCTGAGGAAGAGACACAGTAACAGTTACCCCACTAAAGACAACATTCAAGATGCACTTTACGTGTTTAAAGCACGGGTTAGGGTTCGTACCCCAGCTTTAAACACAGAGGGTTCAGTCTCATATTCAGTGTTTGCTCTGCGCTCACCCCACTCACCCGCCGGACCATTCATGTGGCCCAGGAAGCTGGCCGGGGGCATCGGGGGCATCACCAGGTTGAGGGGGATGGGCAGGTTCATGGTGGCCATGTGACCAGGCCCCGCCCCTATCATCCCGATCTGGTCGTGAGTCTGAAAGTACATGTTGGAGGGTCGTCCGGCTGAGGAGAGAGGGCTTCGGTCACACACAATAATAAACATGAAAGATAAAACACTTTTATTTAAAAAGGTTCCAGTCACAAGTGAGAACTGCTCTATCCATAACACTATCTGTAACCTTCTCTAAAACAAATCAGTATTTGGAATATCCATTTGGTAACCATGGCTACCAGCAGCTCTCTGGCCACTCACTGACAGAACACACCAGCACCAGCTCGGCCTGGTACTGGCTACACAGGACCAGAGGAAACACTCCCAATCAGGGGCACATATGTTACTGAGCAAGAGGAGTTTACTTTTACATGGGAACCAAACTCCACCATGAGCACTTCCCTGTTGGGCTTCAGACAGAGGAGCATACCCTGGCTGGAGCGGTCGTAGGCAGAGCCCGGGATCATAGCCTCTCGGGCGTCGTACATGGCGGTGCTCATGAAGCGTCCTCCCTGAAACACACAGGCCACAGTTAAAGCTCAAGTCCCTGACTTTCAAACCATTACACTTTTAACTAAAAAAACCTATGTCTCCTGGCTCTAAATCATGATCATCTAAATGCCCCCCCCCCCGCTTACAGGGTTGATGGTGTTGACCAGTTTCCGAGGCTTGCTGAACTGCATGAGGCTCTCTCGCAGGTTGTTGAGAGGCCCCTCCACCAGGACCCTCTGCTCCTTATAGTAGTTCAGCAGATTGTTCCACAGCGGCTGCTTCGACAGGGCCTTCGGGTTCCCCACGATTATCACACCATACCTGCACCAGAGAGAGAGACCAGAGAGAGAGAGAGACCAGAGAGAGACCAGAGAGAGACCAGAGAGAGACCAGAGAGAGAGAGGCCAGTGGGAGAGGCCAGAGAGAGATTACCTTTGATTAAGAGTCTATTTACTTTTTACAATAAATAATAGCAAATAGCTCTACGGCCTCGGCCCCGGTCCTAGGTCTACGGCCTCAGCTCTTACTTGGCTCGGGTCAGGGCCACGTTGAGGCGCCGTGGGTCGTTAAGGAAGCCGATGCCCTGGTGCTCATTGGCGCGCACACAGGACAGGATGATGAAGTCCTTCTCTCGGCCTTGGAAAGCATCCACGCTGGCGATCTCCACCTGCTGCAGAGACCACACCCCCAGGTTAGAGACCACACCCCCAAGTTAGAGACCACTCTATGGTTTCTCTCTGGTCCCTCTCCCTCTCTCTGGTCCCTCTCTCACCTGGTAGAGCTTGGTGTGCAGAGAGCCGCTGAACTGCATGTACTGGACCAGGTAGGAGCGCTGGCCCTCATATGGTGTGATGATGCCGATCTGGTCCGGTCTGGCCCCAGCCTTCAGGAGCCGCGTGGTGATCTTCTCCACGTTGGCGGCCTCCGTCCTGTACAAGGAGAACAGGGTTAGGGAGTCAGACTGCCCCAAAGGCAGCTGTGGCAATAGCACCACAGTCAATGGATGAATAATGCATAAGTAGTGTGTGTGTGTGTGTGCGTCTCAGTGTAGTGAGTTGTTGAAGTAGGAGGTCCCTTGTGTGTGTGTGTGCACCTGTTGAGGTAGGGTGTGTGTGTGTCTGTGTGTGTACCTGTTGAGGTAGGGTGTGTGTGTGTCTGTACCTGTTGAGGTAGGGTGTGTGTGTGTGTACCTGTTGAGGTAGGGTGTGTGTGTGTCTGTGTGTACCTGTTGAGGTAGGGTGTGTGTGTGTCTGTGTGTACCTGTTGAGGTAGGGTGTGTGTGTGTCTGTGTGTGTACCTGTTGAGGTAGGGTGTGTGTGTGTCTGTGTGTGTACCTGTTGAGGTAGGGTGTGTGTGTGTGTGTGTGTGTGTACCTGTTGAGGTAGGGTGTGTGTGTGTGTGTGTACCTGTTGAGGTAGGGTGTGTGCGTGTGCGTGCCTGTGTGTGTGTGTACCTGTTGAGGTAGGGTGTGTGTGTGTGCGTGCCTGTGTGTGTACCTGTTGAGGTAGGGTGTGTGTGTGTGTGTGTCTGTGTGTGTAGCTG